TCTATTGCTCATACGATTCGAAATCAGCCAAACTGGTCGACAATAGAGTATTTTAATGTTGAGTTTTAGTTAGTAGCTCTAATAATATTTATAAAGCATAGGTGATAGCTTATCAACTTTGTGAACGAAACGAAGTACCTCACTATGCTATAGATTGATATTAAAATAGTGCATATACAACAGCAGGTAATTATTTTGTTCGTAAGTCATAGTAATACTAATAATGTTGTAACAATAGTGGCCCTTTTAATAGCCAAAATTAATACTTGTAGACAAAATCTTTAATACAGGAAATTTATATATATATATATATTGGGATTCTTATTATAACATTATTTTTCAATATAAACAAGATAATACTATCAAACATCTTCAGGCATATTTTTCACCAATTTTTAGGCAGTCGTTCCGCGGATATGAACACCTCTTAATTAGTGTTTAAGAGCAAATAGAGGCAAAACCACCAAATTTCTCTTAAAACACAACGGTACATCAAGGCCGGTACGCCCGCAGCTTACGTAAGCTGGTGGCACTTGTAAAACTGCGCGCGCGCATTTGATAACGATCAAGTTTACTTTGATATATGTGCTGTTCGTGCGGGACACTATATACCCTTGTTGAAAATATTAAATAAACTTCTACAAATGCTTTTACTTCTAGGATATGATAAGCATCAGTTATCTTAATAATAAATATTAGCCATAAAATACGATGTGTGCGGATCGATCGTGGTTTTTGTTTATTTATTTATAAAAAAAGCACAATCCAGTAAACAACAGGTGACCCTAAATCGACAAGAATGAAAAAGTAATGTAAAAATTTAGCCAAAAAAAAAACAAACAAAAACAAGAAATTTATTAGGAAAACAATATTTTTTTGATGATGCATAATTGTAGGCGAGAATTTAACCTAGGATATCTGCCAATATACCACTTGCGATAACTAGTAAAAGACATGGCCATATTTACATAAAATATCGTAATACAGTCAAACCTGGAGCTCAAGAGACCGTGAATTCATTTTCTTTGATGGTGTGGTTGGTTGGTTTCTTGGATGGTTTCTCGCTAACCCGAGTTTCTAAACAGAACTGCAGAAGGGATCTGTCGCACATCTAGAGGTCTATAAAACTATGGAAAATAATAACAGAGAGACATTTCGTTTGAAATAAATAAGAGTCCCTCGAAATTTAATAAGTTATAAATAGCATAAGTATCAATCTCACTTATAGAGGTTCACGCTTGAAAAATGACTGACTGACTTACTACATGTTTCTGACTTATAAAGGGTTAGGAGGGCAAAATCACGGGACCCCATAAATACTCTCATTAATAGAGTTTTCTCGATTACTCAGTTGTCACTTACTCAGGTTTGACTGTATATCTATTTTCTGATGTCTTAAGTACTAATTTCTTATCACATTTAACTGTTGCAATAAATTTCAAATAGCTAATGTAAGATAATAAAATTTGAAGATGGTATTTGAAACAGAGCACTGTTTGTTTACAAGATTTATAAACAAATACTCTTTGATTCATAATATTATTGACAACGCGAGTTATTGTCACTAACGGACATCCCATATTGAGAATGTATCACGTACATTTTTAACGTATTTAGGAGTTTATTACATTGAGCTTATAGGTTTTCATTTTTCGTGGTTATTTATTATTGAACATGTTTCAATTACTACTATTTAGTATTAAATCGATATATATATATAATCTCAAGTGAAGTAAATTTCAATAAACAAATGACTGATGATCAGGTCCCGATATGGGTAATGGGAGCATGGGATAAACGTTATAAGACAGGGTGATTACCCTAAGATATTTTACTTTCCCAGTCCTTTATTGATTATACATATAAAAACAAAAGTCATACGATCTCAGAGTTAGGAAGTGCGCGCACACGAACCAGGCTGACAGTTTGCTATGTATAATACGCCTCTGTCACAGACCTCGACTGATATATAGCATTCGAAACGTCTGTATATGTTATGTTAATTATCATTTATATCCGTTAAAAAAGTTTAATTGAAATTTCCCTAAACATACAAAACACGAGCTGTCAACACGGCGTCATCTCATTGGTATCATCATTTTATCTCATAAAATGGAGTGCATAAGGCCTCACCCCAGCGACGATAAGACAACAGCCTTTGAGGCTTTTGATGACACAGGTGCACTTCAGTATCTACTCTATTATACAACAGATTAAATTACGTTCCATCTTCGTAATAATAAACCGCCTGCGTAACTCAGTTGTGTGCGCACTGTTTATTCAATACGATAAGCGCGGTCCTCACTTTGTCACTCGGATAATCAAAAATATGGTCCAATAAAATAAAAGTTAAACTAAAACGAATGCAACGTTTCTGTTTTTTATGTTACAGGAGGCAAACGGGCAGGAGGCTCACATAATGGTAAGTGATACCGCCGCCCATGGACACTCGCACTGCCAGAAGGCTCGCAAGCGCGCTGCCGACCTTTTAAGAATTGGTTTCTTGAAGGACCCTAAGTCGAATTGGTTCGGAAATACTTCAGTGGGCAGATGGTTTCACATAGTAGTGGTGCGCGGCAGAAATTGCTTTAAGAAACGCTCAGTTGTGGAACGACGGACGTCAAGGTGATACGGATGGTATTTTGTATTCTGCCATGACGTAAAGAACAAACGAACTTCGGAGAGGCGATTTGACTCTTTAAAGTATTTTCGCTTGACATTAGGCAAGCAATCAACGCCAAAATTATTAATTTAGATTAAAAGGGAAATAGAGCAGTGTTGAGCCTAGTGGCTTCAGCGTGCGACTTTCATACAGAGGTCGTAGGTTCGATCCCTGGCTGTGCACCAATGGACTTTGCCTATGTGCACATTAAACATTCGCTCGAACAGTGAATAAAAACGCCGCGCCGCTGGTATTAAAAGGAAAATTATCACTTTTCTAGGTTGTTAATTAGATCTGTTAATAAATAAAATTGAAGTACGTAACACTTCGCCTTACTATTCGTTAGTCGACTACATTTAACAAGAGGATAATGCAAAACGAGGAAACAAAATAGAATGTATTTAAGTCATTGGTCGCAGTCTTCCACAGAACGACAAATTTATAGACCCGGATAAGATAAATTTGATATTATGTTATCCTACTCCCCTTGCCAATATTGTGTCTGTTAATTGATAGTACTATTACACTTTACTCAATAATATAATATTTATTCAGTAAAGTATAATAAAATGGTTTAATTACACGCTCTAGTAATATTTATATACTTTTACTTTTTCATAAATAATAGAACAGAGAAAAAATATATTTTCATCAGTTTAAAGCATATTCAACAGAACTATTACAACAATGTTTGTTTTTAAATCCTAATGAATTTCATAAATATTATTATTAGATATGCTTTTCTAATTGCAAAACTCAAATTGGTAAAGTTTCCTTCCTGTAACAAGTTAAGTATGTTAATTATTCTTTTTTTATAAAGTAAAATCTATAGTTGCTGTGAGCACTATGTATCGATATATAATAATATAGTTATCTGCGGCATTGTTTTTTATAACACCATGCGCCTATTTTATATAGTATAGTAGTTTTTTTTGTTCTAGGTACATGGTCTTCACATATAATTATCATATCAATGTATACAAAATATTGTAAAAACTATTTAAAAGAGTGAGTATGGTGTTTGTTGTCCATCCTTGGGACCTTTTGGAAGGGGCAACTAGAGTCATTTTTTCATATATTTTTTACTTGTAATTTTAACATTCAAACGTACCTTTTTAATAGGCCTAATAAAAATAAATGATTTGACTTTTTGACTTTTGAAGTCATGAGCATTGGCCAGATATAAATTATTTCAAATATTTAGGATTGTCGTTTAAAAAAAAATTAATTAATCGGAGCATCTACGTCTTACGAGATCTATGGTTATAGGTAATCAAGAACTAAATACATACCTATTGTTACATAAATACGAGTTATACAATCTATTATCGTCCAGTCAATTTGTTTGTTATTTTGTTGCATAGATGATACTAGAAGTGTTTATGTGAGGAACAGAACAAATAAACAATTGAGATGGTTCATACTATCAATCCAAATATTGAGGGTTATTTATGAACAACAAGTTTACTTAATTTTCTATTTCGTAGTGAATCGTGTATCTATAGGCAAATATTTTTGCAGTTATTAATAAAAGTTTAACCGTTTTTTACGACTGTAGGTATTAGTTATGTTTAGTTTTTATGTGTTTTTTTATATGAAGTCAACACAATGAATTTTCATCAAATTTTTAAAATATTCTAGATATCTTTGACACAAAATTGATATGTTTAAATCAATAAAATGTTTATTATGTTAATTTAACTCGGTGCAAATAACTCTAACCTGCAAAATTGACCTATAAAACGCCTCTATCGTCCCACTTAGCATACCTAGCTTTACTCGTGTTGTTGCCCCGCGATAAGGCACATATGCTATTCATAATTCACACAAAATACTCCTTAATGTGCCGCAATAAAGTTCCAATTTAATATGCCATAAAATACTGTATAATATCTGCAAATGCACCGTTCAAATTTCACATCGACCTGTGAAATAATCTTTAGCCAAGTTTGTTACGACACCGGTTAAGTCTATTGTTTTTCAGTATAAATGTCGGTCAATGTCGCTCGAGAATTTATTAAATAAAGTGAAGCGCCATTCGTTGCGGTTACAATAAGGATAATTCTGCTGAAAATTGAGAAAAACCTCGCGCAATACAACGTTTGCCAAGTTCGTGAGGTCTCATTAGCACATTGACAATGTAGATATCTTACATTTACATAAATATATTTAGGTTAACGCATCGTGGTGTATTATTGAAACGAAAAACCGATGCGTCAACCTCTATGTAATGATCAATCGGAAACAATCGCAAACAAACAAGCGTAATATGAAACGACACTGATTTACAATAACATTGATGTTTCTAATTCGTACTCTTGGTGTTGTCTCACTTCTACTATAATCCTGAAAGACATGAAAATTCAATGAAAATGAAGGCTATTGCCGACTTGTACACCGTTTTGGTGATAAGGGACTGGGTTTCGTATTTAGTAGAGTGATAAGCGAACATCGAACCTGGTACATGGTAGGGGGTGGGGTTAGATGGCGGCAGCCAATAGGCAGCGCTGATGGCCGGATAGTTGGAACCCGACTTGGCTCCCTTGCCGCGGGCCCCGGCTGCCTCTCCACGCATCCTTCACTTCACAACACAACCTCACAAGCACTCACAGCCACATTGCACGTCTGCATTGAACCGCGGACGCGACACTACTAAAGACGTGTATAAAAGACTATAGGTGCGCGTGCGTTGACGGACGATCAGTCATTATTCGTGGGCCCGTGTCACTCTGCTGCTCCCCCCACACCTCCCACTAATGAACTCCGTCCTGTGCACGTCACGTTACCGTTTTCCACATACAGAAGACAATGTGTCTTTAATATTGTTTATACGACAGACGAATCGCTTATGTGGCTTTAAGGCAACAGTAGATTCAGAAATGGTCGCAACACCATTTTTAAAAAGGAACAAAATTAAACTTCGGATTTTTTCGGAAATATACGTGTATTAAAGAGACAACAAAAGTCATATTTTAATGTCAAGGTAATCAAGTGTGGGGAACAATGGTTCAGCAGTAACCACTAAATCAAATAAATAAACCCGCACAAAGAATAAAGCCAACCCACAAACAATAGAAATAAAAATCAAGAATAATTTCGTAACGCTCCACATAAGGCCAAAATATTTAAATTTCCAAATGAACCAATTATCATAGTCATAAAAATTGCACCTCGAGAACGTAAAGAGACCTCGCTAGAGTCACACACTCGTTATCATAATTAATTACTTCAAACGTTAAATAATTGCATAAAAACGTGCCGCGCTGAGAAGAGCCGACGTTTGTTTGTTTAAGGCCGGAAGAACGTGTGGAGATCACACATACACATATAGTAAAACTAATATCACACAAAACCACTGTTAAATTAACCTTAAGCAGGAATTGTAATTAGTTTTATAATATTGAATAATTTAATATTATTTTACAAATTATAGACATTACGTAACCTAAAACCCATTTACGGCAATGTAATTTTCAACCAACCATTTACTAATTAAGTCCTAATGAATGACTCTTTTAACAATATTGTATCTATATAGTATATCTACCTTGTTAAAAAGTCTAATTAGTAAGAATTTAAACATATTAATAGCTAAGGCCTATAGTTAATTATTATAACGAACGTGAGATTATTATTCTTTTGGGCATACATTCAGCTGATTTTGAAAAAAGACGCTACTTATAAATTGTTATACGTTTTGCTTTTACATTAGTTATTAATGCATTATGTATGGTGGCCTTTATAAACGGAATGCAAAGATTGTCTAGTTGTATTCACACACGTGCGCCGCACTCGCTGTGAGCCTATATGACGCGGACGCGGCGGACAATCGATTGCTCATGCCGTTTAGACATAGACTACTGTAGGACAGAGCTGACTTAAGTGTAACAGACTTGTTTGAGATCTATGGTGTTTATTGTACATGTTTATACTCTTTGACCTCGATAAACTCTGTCACCTAAGATTACTTAGTCGTTTACCATGTTTTAATTTATATAGATCGGTTGGTTTAGTTAATATATATTTTGCGTCAATTGTTTTACCTCATATGCAAATAGAATTAGTTAGCCAACAGTGTGTTAAGAAAATTATCATTTTTAAAAAAGCGTATGCCATATCGAACTATTTATTTCCCTAAACTTCATGCGCAAACGCCGTCCATTTTCTTTGGTTAAATTATCGTTTTTATTTTATATTACTGCAAATTAAATGATCATTTTCAAACTGCACAATCAGATACTTATAACTACTGACTATATTGCTCATAATGATCGTTCGATTGCTCAATTAGTCAAATTAGTTATTAACGACCTCTGATAATGACAACTAGCCTATCGTAAGTGATTTTAAATTGCATCAAATTAATTATAACTCAATATTATATGGCGTGGCATAAACAAACCATTGTAAATTAAACTCAATCATTCAAAAGGTAAAACATTAAAAGAGTGGCCAAGAGTTTCTTGTTAGTTCTTTTCTTCCGTTCTACATTTTTGATTTGAAAACTGTCAGTAAAGTACATTTAGAGACATAATATCTAAATGTACACTTACTGCCAGTCACTATCTACTGGAATAAATGATATTTCATTTCGATTTTAAACTACTTAAAATCTCTGTTTATGATTTTTTTTCTTAGGCGTCTTTATGGCAATGGAATCTTAAATAATAAACAAAAATAATAAAAGATTTCACTCACCATTTCTATTTTCACTGTCAGCCGGCTTCATTTGAATCGGATGGTGCATCTGAAAGGGAAATGAAAATGATATAAATTTGTGCGTTAAAGGCTATTCACAATTGTAACATAGATTTAAATGTAAGAAATAATGCTCAAGGTACGGGTAAATACACCAATCAAGTACAGTAAACATGCGAACTACACTCTAATTAGATTTGGTTTTATAAAAAAAATACTAGGTATTAGTGACTCAATAAATCTATTTGCATTGAAAAGTTTTGTTATAGTATGCATTTGCATCTTTATGGTTTCATCGATTTTTTTAACAAAGATTATAATGCCAAAGTAACTGTATTAGTGTAGTAATAAAATCACTCTTATCAAACTAAGAATTACATTGAATAACGTCAAATACTAAAATCCATATTTTCTATCAAATTATTACCGCCTATAGCCAACAGAAACAAAACATATCGATCGGTGCGTCGCGTCAGTTTAATTAATGCTCTCAATAATAATTATTTACACAATGCATTCGGTGCACGGACAAACAGTTGAAACTATTTTAATTATTTGTAAACACTGTGAGACTATCTATTGCATAGACAAATATTGTTGAGTCTTAGCTGTAACAGTACATCAAGCTTTTTAACTCTTTAAATTTTTATTTATTTGGTTTGGCCCTTTATCAGCATAATATTTACAGAGGAATATATTACTAAATAATTTAATGTCTCGTTTGTCATCGACTCGATCGACACTTAACGAAACAAGGGTATTATTATGTGCTTAAGTACTTGTTATAAGACCTATGAACTCTTTCTCAATTAATATTATGGCTCCAATACTATATTTTACAAACAATTCTGTATCCAACCAATAAATATGAGTAAAAGCTGTCAAAACAATTTTATAACAATCAATAAAAGATAAATCACAACAAATAATAAAATGTAATTTTTAACAGAGCTGGTTTTCGTTTTGCGATTTTTCGATGTAGCCTGGATTTATAGTTCCGCAGAACAAAAACAACACTTTTATCTCTAAAATCATTGCAATATCTGCCAGACCCGATATCTGTTCCAGGAACGTAATATGGATTGTAAAATAAATGGAAGATCGAATGAAAACCAAATAAAAAATAGATATTTCAGCAGCAGTAAGGTAAACATAATATGACATTTAACTATATTGAATTGGTATTTTTATACCGCCTCCGAATGTCTAATTTTTTTTTGAGATATTGCTGTACACAAACGAAGCAAACACTTCTATAATGATTAAATATATGCTTTTTTCGTCTGTGGTTCAACGTTTCCGTTAAATAAGTAGAGGCGTGCAACTATTGTTCCTACGTATATTTTCAGCTTGAGTCAGTCAACGCTTATAGATGCAGTGACCCAACTCCAAGGCGTGTCAATCGTGACGTGGTTATTTTCATAGGCGCGTTGAGTGATCCCTTGTCATATGCCGGTCACTACAACGGTACACTCGACAGCTAAGAGAACTGTTTATTAATTTTAACATTAAATTAAATATATCGGTATCTATTTAGAATTATGATAAGTTTTTTACAATTTAATCAACCTTCAATGTAATGTAATAATAACTTTTGCATTGTCATGTTTTGGCTTATAGATGGGAATTATAATGCAAAAATTACAATATTTTTACAATTTACCACAAACTATTGCTCAATATAGTTTAAATTTGTACACCAGCGTTGTTTATTGTTAAAACTGTTATAATATTGTAAACTACACTTGTGTTAATTTAGATAGAAAACTCGAGTTCGCCACGTTATACCGCACACTCACGCGTACTCATGTTTCATCATATAATACTCTTCACTAATTAAAATCCACAGAGCAGGCTAGATAATACACAAAGTTATCGCGTAACGTGATAGTCTGCTTAACAACAAAATCTAATAATCACAACTATCGCGGCTCTCAACGCTCAACACTCGAGCCCTTATAAACAAACCCCTTTAAATTTGATGCCGACAACTTTCAACTTAGTTTCACTTCATTACACCAGAGGTTGAGGCGAATATAAATTTGTAGTGCTATATACACATGTAGCCATATTCTTTCCCGATTTAAATGGGTAGTATATAGTCCATATCAGAACAGCGCTTATGTCACAAAGAGAATTCGCCGCTTGGTTGATTGCGTACAGTCAAGTTTGTTTCTTAGTGCTAAGCAGACCAGGTTTTTTTCCTCAGTCTCAGTTGTGAAACGACGGACGTTGAGGTGATACGAGTGGAATTTCGTATTCTGCCTCGACATCCGATGGTTAAACATAGCTGCAGGTAATAATCCGAACACCTCTTCTGACCATGGAAAATCCGGTAGAAGATGCAATAGGTCCCCGCATCTCTACGCAACGCCAATGGATCAAGCCACTCGGTAATTGTTTTTTAAAGTCGAAAAGCTATTTAACAGACTACCTAGATAACAAGAGTGATTAACATCAAACTCAGCAAATAATAAACTAGTAATGTTTGTAAACGACGCCATGACCCGAAATACTTTCAGATCATTACCGGATAAGTTGATTCATGAATCTCGCGCGAATCGCCCGAATCTCATAAAGCGTATTCCTTATCTAATTAGGGACCAGATGATCATCAATCACTGGGCCGGCGTGGACAAACACTGTACAAAGTGTACAATTTGTCACGTCACGCTCTAATCAGAGTCGCCTTGGATGCGCCATTACTGAAGGCGAGATTGAGAGCGCTGCGTGCGATAAATGAACCTGGGACTCTACACACTCATTATCACGATTAATGTGAGGTAGTTCTTACAAAGGTTAAATATCTTTGTACTTTTAGTATAAGAGATTACAAAAAGGCGAAATTATTATGTTTTATCATATATACGTATACTC